TATATGGATTACATATATTTTCATAGCCATTTATTCATAAGGGGACATTCAGGTGGCTTCCACATGGAGATTCTAGGTCTTGGTTTGATCCAGTCCTGGAAAGGTGACTGGGGCTGTCTCTTGTTTGGGTTGTGCCTGAAGTTTATTTGGTACTTTTATCCCTGGCATGTTTTCCCTCAACCCACAGAGACTTTTGTCCTGGATGAGAATTTTTTTCTAGATCTTCATCATCTTGGAAATGTGGGTGGCCCCAATATCTAAATCATAAATTTCTGTGAAGTATAAGTGGGTTGCTGCATTTTCACCAAACTTCAGATTTAAGAAATTTAATTCAAATATTGTGGATAAGCCTGTAATGCTGGTACTCTGGGAAGCTGAGTCAGGAAGATCACAAATTTAGGGCAGTCTGGAAATCTCAGTGACTTACCGAGATCCTGTTACAAAAAGTAAAAAAGGGCTTGGAACCTTACTCAGGGTGTAGGTCCTGGGCTCACTCCACCTTATCCCAATAAAAAAGGAAACAAATGTGGTCAAATAACAGTAACATTGTGGAGACTAAACAAGTGATGCACCCTGACACATTCACACAGATTGGGAGGGTGAGAGGACAGTTCATCTTTATAGTATTTCCTGGAGAGCTGCATGTCCTGACCTCTTTAAGCACAGGGAATGCTCATGTTTATTCACCACCCAGCTCCTCTTTGCATCACCAGAGCCAGGAGCCAAGCAGATGACAGAAGTACATGGGGATGCTCACAATAGAAAAGTGAAGAACAAACGTGCAAGTGAGAATTTTTATTTATAAGAATTTGGGGTTGTTAAACCTTACCTCAAAGGATAAAACATATATCACTACAATAGAGAAAATGAAAAAAGCTTCCCTTAAATGGGCATATGTTTATGGACATGAAATAGTTGAAATACCTAACACAATACTTTTTGGGAACAGCCTGTTTTCAAAACTACGGTAGCTAAAAGTAGTTAAAAGAAACATAGTAATAATTCCATGTTCTGCATGTTCAAAGAAACCAGTCAAGTTTACACATATTCTAAAGAAATCTTGACAATCCTATAGCTCTAATGTTACATTTTAAAAGTAACTCATTCCCATTTGAGCCTATACAGGTCACTAGGAAATAATCTGCAGAAATGAAATAATCTGCAGAAATAAAATAATTTTAAAAATTAAAACAGGTCCTCCAACTATGATTTGTAGTGAGCATGTAAAATTATAAGGTGGCTGAGGATGAGTGGAACCAGAAAGTCCCAGGATCTCATCCACTCTGTCAACTCCTGGCTCCTGGGGCTGTGATGGAGTGAGTCCATTGGGCTCCTTCTGGAAAAGTCTGCACTCATAGAGGTGGGAAATAACCAATGTTATCAGGGTGTACAGATGCTCACTTCCTTAAAATTTCTATTTTGAATGTTAAATAGTGCACAGGCTGGAGAAAACCATTTGGTGGCCCCTGAGAGAGTTCTCCCCACGTGACCCCATGAAGCAGCCACTCCATACTTACCCCAGACCCAAAAAACTGACAACTGCTAAGAATAGAAGAACTGGTGCACAAATAATTCATCACAGCCTATGTACCAGAAACAAAGGTTAGAAACCACCCTGTCTTGCTGATCAGACTGCGGGATTTGAAGCAGTGAATTTCTAGACAGTCCCTTAAAGACTTTCCCTAACCTAAGGAGAATCGGAGTGCAGGGTTCCAAGGGTGAGTGATGAAAACAAATCTTTTACTGCTGGTGGAGGAATTGAATTTAAAGCAGACCTTGAGTGTAGGGGTGCAAAGGCTGTGGGAAACAGGCACCTAGTATTGTTCCAGGAACCACCTGCAAAGCTGAGGAAGCCAACTTCAGGTGGATCTCAGTTTGGACTTCCTGAGCCATTCTGCTGGGTTGTACCAAGAACCAGGCCATCAGGGCACCTCAGCTGAGTAAAAGACTTCTGAAGGCAGGTGGTTGACATCAGAATTCCTCTCCAATTTGCCATTTTAAAATTTATTTATTTTGCCACACAGGGGATTGAACCCATGTTCCATTCATTTTTCACGCTGACCTCCATTTCCAAACATTTTTAATTCATAATTTGAGATAGAGTCTCATGATGGCACTCAATAGTACAGGCTAGACCTGAGCTGGTGATCTTCCTGCTTCAGCACCCCACAGTGCTGGGATGACAGGTATACAACTCTTCCCATTGTGATGAAAGGAGCCCATCCTTAATGGCTTCTCCCTTGATTTGAATTTCCATGTCTCCATGTCTCTGCTTGCCCGGCTCACCTCACCTCCCTCCTCCCCTAATACACCCATCAGACATTCAGCTTCTTCCATGTCTCAGCCTTTCCTACACTGCCAAAATTGATTCCACTTCTTTCTTGGTCCCCCTTCTCATCTCCTCTGTCTGCCAGTATTTGGACTTACTTTCTTCTAACTAATGAGTTGTTCAAGCTACTCTGCTCCACAGCTGCTTGCCTGTTCTCTGATGCTGCCATCCCCCAAGATGATTCTCTACAACCATGCAACATCCCTGCTCCTAGCCCTTTCATCTCCACCCCCATGGATTTGACAGCTTTGGCTCTTCAGATCAGATCATCACACTTACTCAGAAATAGCTGCTGAAGGGCTGGGGATTTAGCTCAGTGATTCCACCACCTGTCTTGCAAGCACAAGGTCCTGAGTTCAATACCCAGTACCAAAAAAAAAGAAAGAGAGAAAGAAATAGCTGCTGTATGCTCACTTCCACAGTTGTTCCTAATTTTCTAGATTTCTTTTCTATTATGTAAACCTGGCATAAGATGTGAGAAAGAATGCCCTATGACTGAAATCCCCCAGGGATGCCCTCATGGCTGAGTACTCCATCCTACCCTGGATCATTGCCAGGCAGTGTTCCTCATTTAGATGCTTTTCTTTTACTTAGGATTTACAGTGATTATCCAGGAACCCACAGAGTTTGCTTCCTTCCTTTGCTCTTGCTGGCTTTTCTACTGCAATCTCCATGCATCATTTCCTTCTTTAAATCTGTAGGGTACATTTTTTGTGGTATGCTTGGTGTTTTTGTTTGTTTCCTTTGCATACATGAAAAGAAAATCAGTACTTTCTTTTCACATTTAAGAAATTTGGTCAAATAAAAGCAATTCAGACTGACAATGTCACACACATCAAGAAGGTGAGCAGACAGTTCCCTTTTATGATCTATCCAGAAGAGTTTCATGGCCTTGTCCTCTTTAAAGCACAAGTTGCTTTACCATCCACCTGATGTTTTGCATGTCAGATATGTGAGTGAAACTGAGTTAAAGAATGACAGCTCAATGTTCACAATCAATAAGGAAGAACAGTATGGTTTTTATTTGCAAGTGTTTGGGGTACTACTACTCATCTATAAGGATAATGCATATACAAACTTGTTACTATATCACTTAAAATGGCTAACAAATCATTGGAAGAACAAGGTCATAGATATTTATTAAATACAGTAAAATTTATATGACTACAAGATTGACAATAAACCAATGAATATTTTACTATATATTGAAGCAATCTATGTCAACAGTATGGTTCTAATAGTCTATTTTAAATAATTTCTTCCAAATCTGACACTCTACAGGTCATCTTGAAATTTATTTATCAAATAAATGAGGTACAAAGTATATATAAAATTAGCAGATGTCTAAACTTCCAATTAAGGGGAAACTTGAATAAGTAGTGTAAAATTTAGAAGGTGACAGAGAAAAACTGGTTCCTAGTTGTCCCTGCATAGGTTCATCAGCGCCAGGGAATATTGTATGGTGATTGCATTTCAGTGCTCCCCTGGGCCCAGAATCTGAAAGTAAGAGAGACACTGTCAGATTTCATGGGGGAAATTTTCTAGATTTATACGCAAACAAGATATATCATATACAAATACAAAAACAAGATATAACATACACAAATACCTAAGGATGAATGTCATGGTATTGTATACCTAAAATGTACCAATAAACTTAATGAATTAGAAAAAGTCCATCCCAACTATAGTTTCAGTTCATTTAAGTCCAGCTTGATCTCTAATCCTTCCTTCTTAACCCTTGTCCTAAATGATCATTCCTAGTTGTGGTCCTCAGACTTTTTGACACACATTCCAAAAATCACTTGAGATATCTAAGGTTAGGCCCACATTCCTGCTGTATAGTGAGAACTTGAGCTGATTCTTCTCGGAGATTAGAGCACGCTTGGAGAATGTGCCACATTTCCACTTACCTCTCACCTTAGTGCTTTCCACACAGTTAGCATCTGGACTTCCATCTTTGATGGGAACATCACTAATATGTCCACATGGTAACCATCAGCCCACATGCCTAATGCCTAATCCCAAGAACCAGTGCCTCACCAAAATTCTTACTCCTAAATTTGGCTGGTTGCACATGATTTAAAATAAGTCCTTATGTCTCTGCCCAAACCCTTACTGTACCATCTCTATCTTAATAAGTAACCCCCAAACTAATACATACCTTTCATCATTCTGACAGATATCCATGACCTTACACTTGAAAAGAAAATGTGTAATTATTGGAGAGGAGAAATTCATCCACAAGTGGAAAGACAAGATAGGAAAAACTCTCAGGTACACTCAACCATGGGCAATGTGTCTGCAAGCAACTTGGGGTGTACATGTGGTCTTGGATAATTTTCTCCCCTTTCTAAAAATGGAAACCATTTCATCTGATAGCTTTTGATGTAATATTCAGATTGTGAGAAAACAGTTCCTTTCTGTGTGATCCCTAAAGGATGACATACCCTATATAGAAGACCAAAGGTAAAAGTACAACTTCTGCAGGGCAATGAAAAGTTATGGCTAGTAGATATTCACTTGCAGTGAAAACCAATTTTTCATCCACAATGAGATTTCAACACATTTTCCCTGATTGAATGGATTTCTACCAAATCACTGATCAGGGACAGTCTGGTTTTGTGAGGTCTGACTGAACAGTGTCCCTGCACCTGGCACATCCCTCTGAGGTCGCTTCTGTGTACCTGTCACCTTGGTGGCTGTGGAGGAGAGAAAGGGAGGCTAAACCTGTGCCTGAGGCTGAGCTGTTCCTGATGTGCAGACAGTGGATAGGGCAGGAGGATCATGAGAGGAGGGCAGTGCCTGGGTTCTCTGCATTTTCAAGATAGAAGGCAGTGGTGCTGTCTCAACCCTGGGGACACACGCATACCTTTTTGACACCAGTGTCCTCAGGGCTCCAGTGTTCCCAGAATGAGTTTACGATCTCTTCTCCATACCCAGAACCCAGGATCATAAGCTTGGATCTGGAAAGCAGAGAAGCCCCCGAGGGCATGAACACTTCCAGTAACAGCACCCTGTTGTTCAGCCTGCTTTTCTTTCTGATCACCAATCCCTACCCCTCCTCTGTTTGCATCTGGCTCCAATCCAGACCCCCCCCTTCCCAGCCAGTCCCAAGGCCCCACCCACCTCTTCACACTCCTCTCGAGTCACCCTCAGGTTCCAGCCCATGCAACAGATGAATTCATAGCGCAGCTTTTGGAATTTGGGAATCTGGGCCAAGTTCCTCCCATACAGAAAGAAGAACATGTCATATTTCTGTAGTTGACTATCTTCCTCCATCTCATTGGCCAGGAAGCTGGGAAAGACAACAGGTTGCTCATCAGGGTCACAATCAGGAACGAGTTGTGCCCCAGGTTGGCTCTGAAAGAGGTTTGGCAGGTCCCTTTCAGCTCAGGATCCCATCAGCCCTATGCAGTGCTCCTGAGGACCAGGTATCTTTGGAGAGGCCAAAGCTGCATAGGGCCGTACTGAAGGTGCCTCCAACCTGGCAGATGAAGAAGGAATCCCTGTACAGAGCCTGAGTTGGACTCCTACCCCTGTCACCCTGTGCCTACACATGTCTCCTGGCCAGTGAGAAGCACTTAGTTGAGGGTGAACTTGATATTGTTCTGTGTCCATCCCTCTCCTCCTGAATGGCTAATACAGGGCTCAGTACAGAGGAGGTATGAATTCCACCTAGGTTTCCTACCCATCCATTCCCATTGCTTTACAATCCCTGGCAGGGGATGAACCACAGAAGGCTTTGTTGAACAAATGAATGAAGTCATGAATGGCATCTTTATCTGTAGGTAGAAGCCATACAGAGTACCTTGTGGACTTAATGCTGTAAAAGAGAAATACCTGCAGATTGCCAAGGATTGAGGGCACTGTGTTAAGAATGGATGGATCCTTTCACAAGAACCAGGCCTCAGCAATTGTCCTCCCCAAAGAAATTTAAGTAAAGAGAGGAGGAGGTGAGGAATTAAGATTTCAAAATATCTTGGACCAAACTACTGTTGGAATCCTGAAGGTGGGAGATCAGGGAAGAATGTAGTCAGTTTGGGAGTTTTGTTTTGCTTGCAGTACTAGGACTGAACTCAAGAGAGTTCATGCTGATCTACATCCCCAATCAGTTGTATTTCTCCTTTGGAAACAGTGTCTTGCTATCTTACCAGTTTGCTGAGGATTGCCTCAACCTTGCCACTCTCCTAACTCAGTCTCCCAGTGAACACTGATTACAGGAGGGCACAAAAAAGTCCAGGTTTGTTTATTTTGAAAGAGGGTTTCATTGAGTTGCCTTTGACCTTGAACAGTTGGTCTTGAATCAATGGATTTGAACAATCTTTCCCCTTTATCTTCCAGAATCTCTGAGAATACAAGTGTGCATCACTATGGCCATCTGAGTTTGGATGTTTTAACCAACTTGAAGATCCAGAGTTTTATTGAGGTTCAGTGTGTAAAGATGTGGACAAAATACAAGATAAGGAGAGAGAATTGTGTTTGGAAATAACAACGAAGGGAAAGAAAGAAATACGAAGATGATAAGCTGGTTTGGTGACAGAGACATTTTAGAGTGGGTGAATTCAAGGGGAGACCTGAATTAGCAGTTCAGTAAGCATGAGGCAAGTGAGCTGTTGGCCCATCTTTTGGAAAGATGATCAGACACCAGAGATAGAGCTTGTTCCTCCATGGCTTGTGGAATGGCTTGTCAGTAAGACCAGCAGGGAACATGTTGCACTCAGTCTCTGGCCTAAAACAGAGGGCATACTTGGGACATCAGTCTTAGAAATCCAGAGGAAAGGAACAGAAAAAGACCTTTGGTATTGCTGAGGAAGGAGACACTCAGAAGGGTCTGACATGGCTGCCCCTTTGGTCTGTGGGCTGAGGGCCACAGGTAGATTCTTCTGGCCTATGTTCTCTGAGGGTCTGTTTCCCCCAGTTCCATTCCTTTACTGACAGGATGGTAGATTGAAATTTTTACTAAGAGAACTATTGTAACACTCTAGTGTGAGGTTCATTTTGCACACAGTCAGCAGTACAAAAAGAGACTGGAAAACTACAGGATAGGATAGAGTCCTCCCACCCCATCCAGGGAGGGAACTATCAAGGACTCTCAGGGCAGGTACAGTACTCACAGAGCCAGGAAAAAGTGGATCCTCTTGTACTCCCAAGGAAAGAGGCCAGCCCGGCTAAAGTAGGTGATGACCATGGCCAGGAGGTACTGGTGGGGAGAGAGGAGGACAGTCAAGGGTGGACAACCTGGAGGCGGGGGCATGAGGGGACAGGGATTTGGAGGGGCAGCAGGGCTTCATTCAGAGAAGAGAAGCCAGGGTCAGGTGGCCTGGTTATTGGGGCAAAGTCAGGTTGTTGGAGGGTTTTTTTTGCAACTGAGAGCATCCAAGAGAATGGAGGCCATGGTGCCCAGGAATGCACTTCCACAGGTGTCTTTCAGACAGGGCATAGAGGTCATTTGGATGTGAGTGGGGTCCCTTCAGTTAGAGTAAATAGGTTCCCCAGAGCTAAGGGAGGGAACAGCAGCTTCAGGCAGCACTAGCCAGAGAACTCATACTGAGGGAAGACCCTGTCCTGGGCTCAGATCCCAGAAGACCCAGGTAGAGGATGGTGTACTCACCCAGTCCAAAAAGACCAGCCAGGCCCAGAAGGGAGACAGTGTTTAGACCTAAAGGGACCTTGAGGGTGGGCAGGTGAGGAGGGAGCTCTAAGGAGGGGCTGAGAGAGGACTGCAGGGTTGGAATTCTGTCCTCTCCATGCTTTGGCACAGTGACAGCTCTTCTTAGGGTGTAAGGACCTCACCTTATCAGAAGCTCTGAGGTTCATGTCCCAAGCCAGGAATCTTTTGACAATGGGATCCTCTGGGAAGAGAGGGTAGCATTAGGTTGGGACCTGCAAAGTTATTACTTTGAGCAAAAGAATGTGGAGTAAAACCACATTTGCCTGGGAAATGGTGCTGGATTTTATCAGGATAATGGGAAGGGGAGAAAGAAGTCTTGCCTCATTCCTGAAATGCCTTCAAGAGCAACTGTGAGTCCTGGGTAGCAGCAATATTAGCCAGGTTAGAACAATAGAGCAGGGTGGGTTGGCCTCTTCCAGCACAAAAAGGCATCACTTCAGAGGTCAGAAGTCACGTAGCTCCTTTTCTTTGTAATGGTCATATCCAGGTGTGGCCATGACCAAGTTGACCCTTAGGTGCTGCAACTATTTCCATTCAGGAAAGTCAGCGATTGCCCTGTGTCAGAGGGCCATGTCAGATCCAAGCTTTATGCTCCCACGTGAGGACCTATTTTGAGGTGTGTGTCATAACTGTCTTCTATGTGAGTGGAGAGGGATGGCCCTGGAGTCCCTTGGGAATGGAGAGGAGAGCTTATGTTCACAGAGTCCTCCCTTCCATGGGAGAGGGATGTGCCTGGTTGTCTCCTGTGTTCCTAAATAACCAGTTTGGAGGTGCTGTGTAAGGTCCCCTTACCCAGCAGCCTGGTGAAGGCTGCTTGGTGCTCAGGCAACACTGATGACAGGTGTTTCATCTTCCTTTTCTTCTTGAGGCCGCAAGGCTTCTCTGTGACACCCATGTGTGTAGAGGGTACAGGGCTTAATTCTTGTGATGGCTCCTGTGGCTCCTCAATGAGCAGGGACAGATATTCTCTCCACCTTTTTCAAGGTGGCAGCCTGATGTTTTCCCTGGAGGATGAGGTAAATCAGGGGCCTAAGTTAAAGCAGCAGGAGCCTCCCCTCTCTTCATCCTCCTTATACACTGACCACCCCCTCTACAATTTGTGGCCAGAGGACTGAGGTGGGAGGCTGGGCTTCCCCTCTAGAGCTGAATGAGAACCCCCTTGATATTACTTCTCCTGCTTAGCCTCTGCTTCCAACTCTGAACAAGAGGAGCCTCTCTGCTTCTTCTGGGCAGGCCTCTGAAGCATGAAGTAGGATGGAACTCCAGCGACTCCATCACGCACATCCAGCCAGTCCTCCTGCATCTCCTCCTCCTCCTCAGACACTGGGGACCAGTCTCTCTTCCTCTTTTGAACACAAGCCACAGGTGGAAGACTGGATACTTCCCACAGGACTGAGGAAAGAAACCCAGGTCCAATGGGCCACTTCTGCTTTTGAAATTCGGCCTTTAACTGTCTCAGCCCAACTCCATCCTTCCATAAAACCCCCAAATTTCTTCCTCTGCTTTCTCCTTAAAGCCATTGTTCTATCCTTAATGTTTGCTGATCTCCATCTTAACCTAATTCTCCTTCACACTGTCCCAGCACATGATGCCTACAAACTCTTGTTCTTATACACCCTTTCACTCCTGGAAGCAGCAACCTCTGTTTCAGGCACTGTTTCACATACACAATGTTGCAACTCATGTCCAGCTTGCTAGGTTTTCTATCCATTACCCATCCTTGTCCCACCTCCTGGCTTTTCTTTCTCCGATTTTTGCCTTCTTGAATCACTACTTCCTTCATTTGTAGACCTTCCTCTTTACTGGTGACCCTCCTCTTTACTGGTTACCTTCACAGACCTCTTTTATCTCCAGCCCCCTTACCTGATTGTCCTGGGATCTCATCATGCACTATCACTACTTCCAGGGAATATAGTAGAGAGATAGGCTGTGGACTCTGGTCCCCTGACTGGGAAGATGGTTCCTCAGTGGCCATGCCTTCTCTCAAATGCCTTGGTTTCCTCACCAAAACACAGACTCTGGTCTGTCCACTCTCAGTTAATGTAATTCTATCAAACCCAAGCCACTGTCTTTTTTTACAGTCAGATCATCAGTCTCCAGTGGAGAACAGTTCTGCAAAGCAGCTGTTGCTCACTGGGCTTCCAACTGCCACTTGGATTTGAACCGTCCAATTAGGGAGGTTGGAATCCTATGAGGTCATCATGAACTCAGACCTGGCAACCAGTTTGAAGGAAAACATACCTAACTGCCAGACTGGATATGAGTCTATGGCATCTCCTGCCAGGTACCCAAACTTTGTCCATCATTCTAAAGTCTCCTTGTGTCCTCTGTGTTCCTCTCTTTTCTCAACACATGGCATTTTATGTTCACTGTCCTCTCCAACCATGCATTATCTTGCTAACCTCTGTGCTTTTCTTAAGAGTATAGACTGGTGAGAGAGGCAGTATAGTGCTCAGGATATTTAGGGAGATCAAAAATGACACAACCTCATCAGGAGGGCATAGGCATGGACAAAAGATCTCAGGGGCATTGACTTTTTGACTTAAACTTTTCAGTTTGGCCAAGCTCATCTCCCCAGTTTTCAGTGGTCCTTTCTGTGTTTGGGAATATGTACTGGGGACACACATTTTGCCTCTCTTGACAGACAGAGTGGTTGTAAGGAAAAATAAAACCCTAAATGTGGTCCATTTTCTAGAGGAAAGAGTTATACACTGAGTTGAAAATTACTGACAGTTTTTAAACTGCCTCACAATGTTCATGCATTTGCCAGATCTCTGGGCAGATGGTACCTTGAGGGAAAGATCCAAATAGTAATGTCAAAAACATGGTCTTTTCTATTAAAAATATGAGCCAGAGAGGACCTCCATCTTAATCTCTAGTTCAATGTAGATAACCCAACCTTTTTTCTGTTGAGCGCACTGAGTTATAGAAAATTTTTGTTCAATTTAAATATTTGGAACATAGCTGCTGACCAAAGATACCTTATCAATAGCCAAGAACTTTCTGGTCCCTACACCCTCTCCCCTCCCACTCATCCTGTGCAGCTCTTCAGATCCTTCCCTCACACTTCCTAAACTAGCCAGTTGGGATAGACTGTAAACCTTGAACCCAACCAGTGGGGAAAAGGTCAGTTACTTCTCCTAAGTTAGGAATAAAGAGGGCAACACTCCTTTTTTCCTGCACTGCAGCTGCCTCATGCTTGTACCCTTCTATAGAAGTTAACTTTAAACTGCTTTGTTGATCTTTCCTGTGTTGCTGTTTCTGAATGCATTCTTTCAAACACTGTCAATTTGAGTCTGAGGGCTTATTTCCAACAATTTTGTACCCAATGTGGGGCCCCACCACATTAGGGCATGAGGACTCACTCCCAGATGAGATTCATCCAAAACCCTAGCTGCATAATCATACCACAGTGATATATGTGCACCCATGTTCATAGCAGCACAATTCATGATAGCTAAAACTTGGAAACAACCCAATTGCCCATCAGCTCAAGACTGGAAAAGAAAATGTGTTTTTTTTTTAATAAATGGAGTATTACTCAGCCACAAAGAATGAGAAACTAGAGACATTTATAGCTCAATGGATACACATTGAGGCCATACTCTTAAGTGAAATAAATAGGACACGTAAAATACTGAATAGTTTCTCTAGTGTGAGAAACGAAGTGTAAGGACTAAAAGGTATAATATAGGGTGTGAAATAGGAAGAAAAGGTGCAAAGGGGAAGGGAAAGTGGGAAGGGGAGGGGAAAGAAAAGAAGGGAATGGAATTAATATGAGAAAAAGAAAAAATGGAAACAAAGTCTTTGTAGATAGGGATGGGTGGAGGGGTTGAAGGGAGGGCAGGGGAATGGGGGAAAAATAAGAACCAAGATGGATTATGTAAAGGTGCAAATTTCCAATGATGAATGGCACTGTATTGTATACCTTAAATGTACCAATAAAATTAAGAAAAGAAAAGCATTGTGGAGCAGGCTCTAATGTAGACAAACTTTGAAGAAAAGGCTGACTGGATGGCCAAGCTGTAGCTGCTGCTGTGTTCCCTGTCCTAGATTTTGGAGCTAACTCTGTGCCTGCAAAGCACAGGAGACAGTTGATTTGGGCATTCAAGCTTTAACTGCTATTATGTTCCCAGAATCCATCTTTGCACCCCCTGGGCAAAATAATGACTGGATAATCACTTTTCCATTTTCATAGGCAGATTGTGTTTGATCCATGTGGTGAGTGTACCTGAGAATGAATACTCAATTGGGATGTGTAGCATTATTGGAGCTGTGACCTTCAGTGGGCACCTTACTGAAGCCAGGGTCACTCAATAGGAGGCTAGGCCATAATCCCACTCAAAATCAGCCCAAGTTATTGTTTTCTTTATTTTTAAATTTTATTGTATTTTCTATCTAATGTGTCTGTTAGGAGGAGGCTCATACCCTCTTCATTCCTCCAGATTGCTTTCCTAGTATGTTGTGACTGAAAAATTCTAGAGGTACTTGAGAGAGGACTTAATGCAGTGAAGATCAAAAGTGTCCTGACAATAGGGCTATACAACCCTTCTGAGAAAAAGATGTCCTAAAATCAATGGCCTTTGTTTCTAGGATACAAGCCTGACTAAACAGACTTTAACTATTTCCATGCTATGAAGTGGGATGAAATATCTCCTTCTCCATCTTAACCTTCCTAATGTCAGCTTCATTTGACAAAGCTCTTGTCAGAAAAAAAATCTGTACAAGAAACAAGAGCAGCATGTCAAGTCTTGCCAATACAGTGTTTCTAATGTAAGTTGCCCGATGATATCCTTTTAAGAGAGAAGTTGACAGCCATTAGAGGAACAACAGCATAACACAAAGGAAAAAATGGACTATGTGAAGCATGTAATGCTGGTGGCTTGCTGGGAGTTGGAGTAGGACATAGCATTGGCATGTTTGGAGAGAGAAACACTGAAAAATTAACACTTGTTTATGTATACCTTGCCTTGTTCCAGAGTGAGTTCCACAGCAAGCTGATTTCCTGCACAAGTGTAGGGGGTAGCTCTATCCTTAAGCCAGTTGCTGCAGACTTCATGCTGCAGCCTGCATGCTACATGCTGTCATTAGAACCAGGCATAGAAAACCAGGAATCTGGACACCACACTTCTGTTCCCACTGGCAGATGATCTATGGAAGTGCCAGCAGTAGGCTTGGAAAGATTTTACATTTTTTACATCACCTACACATATGAGACTAGAACCAAATAAAGAGATAGAGAAGAGTCTAGTCCCAAGGAAAACAAAAGCAGCTTCCTGGTCTCTAAGTGGAGGCTCTTCCCTCTGTTAGTCACATACAGTGTTCCAATGCTAGACACTATGTTCTCACCCCAACTATCCACTAATCACAATGGATATTTGGGGCCAGAACTGAACTATCCCATGTGCATTACTTGCCCTGGCATTGGGGCAAACTGACCTGCTTCCTTTATATTTTCACAGCGTCAACTCAAAGAAATGAGTGTTCTTGTGTCAGCTGACTCCTTGGCAGTAGGAAACCCACATACGGTGAGAAGACAGAAAGTGGAAGAAGAGTTTAGAAGGAGTGTGAAGAGACAGGTGGAAGAAGCATTGCACAGTTTGTTAAAATGTGAGTACAGGCACCACTGCGTTCCCCATTCTCTGAAAACTCCAGATGATAATGTTCTAAAGGTAAGAATGAGAGAAGGCAAACTGTTTCACATTATATTAGGAATGACATTATTGCGATGCCTAAGGTTTTTTTCACAGACTATTTTGAGAATTAGATAATTATAGACTCTCCTCTGGTGGGGTATTTTTGTGTATATATGTTATAAATATATATATATATATGTATATGGGTGTGTGTGTATATCATACACACACACACACACGCACACACACACACACACATATATATATATATATATATGAATGACTGACTCACAATATCCTATTGTATAAGAACTACTTATGGCCCCCAAGATGGAAACTAATATTACAGCACAGACATAAAATATAACAACCCTCATCATTTGCATGTTATAAAATTTTTTACATCTAACTTAGTTTCATTCTTACACATTAGGTGTTGCTGTATTGTTTCTGTCCTATTCGGTTAAGGAAATTTCATTACAAAATTTCTTGTATCATCATGCTTTCAAAGGGTATGGAATTTTAACATTATCATTCCTGGTTTAAGCTAAACCTTCTCTAATCTTTCTGCCAACAATGTGGCACAGAGTGCTAGTTGCCTTCCAATATCCAGTTATCTCTTCTGAATTTGTCATCTAAAATGATAGGGTCATGTTTTCTAAGCTTCATTTGCAATAAATGGTCACATCACTAAGTTTTGCGGCAGTGCTGTGTGAGTGCCATGCTGTATGAATGTTCTAAAAGATCTCCCTGCTTCATTCTGCTGTCTGGAATGAAGATACAATAACTGGAGATCAATAGGCAACTTCAGCTGTGAGGGTGGCAGTGATACACGGTGAGAGTGTACATTGACTCCCTGGTAGAAGGTAAGATTCCATGAAGAGGACTGGAAACCATCAAGGCAACACCACTTAAACAATGTGTGACATGTGCCAAGGGCTCAGCACATTATTCAATGAATTGATGAGTGAGTGAGTTTATTCTAGAACCTTTTAAGCGAGGTCTCCACTTCTTGCATGTAGTCCAATGCTTTAAATTCCAATCACATGGTTTCTATGTGGTTCCATTTGCTTTCCCAGATGTGTCACTCTCACAGAAGGATAAGGATTTTTCACTTAAGAGTTTTCTAATGTTTCTTGCATATGAAATGGTTTCAAATCTTTGTTTCTGTTGTTAAATGCAGGTATTGTTAAATGCAGGCCTCCTCTACTGCAGTGTGTAACAACATTCCTAGAACTTAGGAGGCCATCATCATCATGGAAGGCAATCACTAGGTGCTGAAGGTTTAGGATGATGTTGTTTACTGTATAGTCTTCCATTCATCTATGCTAACTAGATTTTAATACTGCATCATTGGACCGGGCATGTAGTTCAGTGGTTTCACCGCCTGCTGCGCAAGAGCAAGGACCCGAGTTTGATCCCTGGTACCAAAAAAAAAACACAGGTAAGAAACACTGTATCATTCTTTTGTCCCCAACCTCATTTAAATGTTTTCAATGGAATGAATCATCTCTGCTTCCCTGCCTTTACAACTGACCTTTACTTTCTGTGAAGTTAGGCAATGTTCTGACACATTTTGTGGCCTGTTCCATGGTTATTTTTGTAAATGTTCACACTGTTTGCAAATACATATTATTTTCTTACTTTCTTTATGCTCTTCCCAACATTATTACTGTTTGATTTGAATAGGTGGGTCATCTTCTGCTTTTGTGACACAAATGTTTATACTTTACCCCTTGATTTTCCACAAATTCATCTTCAATTTAACCACACTTGATAAACACACCACCGCCAAGCCTCTATCTGTGAGTTCTGCATCTGTGCATTCAACCAAACATGGGCTGAAAATATTTGAAAAAATTGGATGTGTACTGAATATGTACAGACTTTTCTGCCTGTCCTTATCTCACAAACAGTACCATATAGTGTCATTTAACATAGCATTTATATTGTATTATGTAGTATAAGTAATCTAGAGAAGACTCAACATATATGGGAAGAAAAATACAGATTAGTGTGAAAATGCCATGCCCTGTTCTATAAAGGACTTGTGCATCGTTGAACATTGGTATCCACAGAGGATCCTGGAACCAGTCCCTTAACTAGTCCCCTCACAAGGGATCAGGAGAAATATGGAGCTTCTTTGAAATGTAGACTTCTCTACACATAATTGATTCCTTTTTTTTTCCAGTCCTGGGAATTGACCACAGGGCATCATGCATAGTAGGCAAAGACTACCACCAAGCTCCCTTCTTAGTCCTTTTTGTATGTATGTGTGTATGTATGTATGTGTGTATGTATGTATGTATGTGTGTGTATGTATGTATGTATAATACAGGAACTTATTAAGGTCCCCAAGGTGGCCTTCACCTTGTGATGCTCCTGCTTCAGGATAATAAGGAACTCTGTCACCAGCTTGTGTCAACAGTCCTGGATATCATTCTTTTTTTCCCAAAGAGATTCTCTGAATAAAAGCTGAGTAAAATATACAAAAAGTCATGATCATTAAGTGAAATATTCCTAAACTTCTCCACTGGAATCTTCATCATCTTGTTTTGAAGTGGCCAATCCTGCATATAGCACATATCATCTCTTTTCTGTTTCTTTTCTTCTCCTTCTCTTTCTTCACGTTCTTTTTCTTTTTTGCTCATTTTATTCAGTAAACATTACACTGTTAAATTAATAAACTGTCTCATGACAATTTTGTGAATGGGACAAGAGCCTGAAAGTACTGGGTACCATACTGTCTTATCAAAAAGCAGAGGATATTTGTCCCCAGTACATATTCCTAAACACAGAAAAGGCCAGTGAACATTGGGCAAAATAATTTACCCCAAAGGAGAGATTTGCTTGAAATTTCTCAGTCAATAAGTCAATGCTTCTGCGATTGTTTTTTGTTACACTTACCATCTCCTGTTGAGGTCTAATCATTTCTGCTCTCCCAAAATATTTTTCCTACTATGCTTCTTCTCCCATGTGCTTATACTCTGAAGATAGAAAGCATATAAGGTAGGATGGTCATATTTCCTTGGAGTTGACGGTGAACACAAAATAGTATCCATTGAGAAGTGAGAGAGGAGCTTAGAGGCCAAGAGGGACATTAGTATGATGGATAGAGTTTGGGTCCCTGGCAGGTGATGCCATAGATCCCAGAAACCCAGTCTTGCCCTTGGGTGTATTTTCCTGAAAACTGCTTACTGGGTGAGAATGGACAATGACCTCATATTTTCCGAACTTCCTGATCAGAACATTCAAATAATCCTTTGGGATATTAGCAGCCCAGTGTGCCATAGCTGTTTCTCAAGGCTGTTCTCCAGTGGTGACTCCTGTCCTGTATGGAGAAGAGATAATGCATTGGGTTCCATGGATGAAAAAAGCAGGGTGTGAAACAGATGAATGTCTGTGTTTTGTGGAGAGGCATAAGGCATTTGGAAGAAGTCAAGGCCACTTTTTATCCATGTTCCCAGACTGAGGACCAGAGTCCATAGGCTACTACCCCAGATACATCCAGGAGGTGATTATTATGATGATGTGATCCCAGAAAAATCAGGTGAGGGTACTGAGGACAAAAGTGGTCTTTGAAGGTGAACAGTAAGAAGCAAGGTGGCTATAGAACAAGAAAGGAAGGACTTGGGAGGGCAGACATGGGGAAAAGAAAAGACAGCAGTTTGACAGGGATGGGCAATAAATGGAAAACTTGCAGAGCAGGAAGAGTTAGGAGATGAATCCAAGCATTGATGGGGAAAAGGTGACTCAAGCACAGTGCCTTTCCCCCAGGAGTGAGGGGGTGTAAGTGTGAAGGAGTTGATAGGCACAGTGGCAGGAGGCAGGGGCAAGAAGAATTGGGATGTGCTGTAGCTCAGCAAAGGTTAAGGATGGAACAATGACTTTGCATGGGACAAGACTGGAAGAAATTCATGGATTACCTGGAAGGAGGAAGTTGGGTTTAGAGAGTCAAAGGCTGAATACCAAAGACAGAAGCTGTACCCCAGGTGTGCATATGTTTCTTCAGGCCTGGTGGTACCACGTGGCCTCCCACCTTGGGCCTGTGTTCAGAAGAGGGAGACCAGTCTTGAGAGTCTGAGGAAGAGCTGCAGGAGAATCTCATGGGTCTCTATAATGGAGTTTCTGAGCTAGTACACTACTTCCTGTCTCAGTTGGCTGCCCAGAAGACGCAAAAGATCTGGTCCTCCTCACAATCATAATGAGCAGTGGAGCAGGAGGAGGATCACCAGGAGTGTTCTGACTCAATCAGAGGGGCACTTTCAGCCCCCCATCTAGGTCCTCTAGCTCCCAATGGAAGATGGAGTAGGAATCAGTGTGAAGAGGATGAGGAGGAGGAGGGTCCCAGTGCCTTGCAGTAGCACCCAGGAATAATCTCAGGCCCCATCTCAAAACAGTTGGAGAAATTATCTTTCTTTGGCAAGAGGACCCACAGAAATCATTGGTATAGCTAAGCCCTGTGATTTACACACATATGGGTATCATGGATAAGCCTTGCGGCCTCAAGAGGAAGGTGAAGATGAAGCACCAGTCCTCAGTGTTGCCTGAGCACCACACAGCCTTTTCCAGGCTGCTGGATAAGGAGACTTCACACAGCACTTCCATCCATTATGTAGGAAAAAGGAGATATCTGATCACCTCCTTCACCAGTGGAAAGGAGTGCTCTGTGAGCCTTGAGCTCTCAATTCCTGGAGGATTCAGGCACCATCTCTCCTCAAAACATAGATAACAGTCCTGTGACCATCATAGTAGAATATGACCTTGATGCTTTCTGCCTTTGGAGTATTCAATTCATGTGCCTTGAAAAGCCATCACTGTCTGCTCTAAGGTCCTAACATGTAAGATAGTTGTTGCTACCCAGGCTCTTACTCTGTTACTCTTCCAGGGATCTCATGTACGAGCTCCTTCCCTCACCCAGTGCATGTCATTCTTCTTCCCCATCCATCTGACTCTGTCCCAAACCACAACCATTATGCATGCAGGTGAGGTTCTGATCCCCATCCTTTCAACCACACACACAAAAAAACTTTTCCAAGTCCCAACCTAACACTAAGCTCTCCTCACAGAGGATCCTGTTGTCAAAAGGTTCCTGTCCTGGGACATGAACCCAAGAGCATGTGGTAAGGTGAGGTCCTTCTCCCCTAGGATGGGCTGTCACTGTGGCATACGTAGAATGGGGAAGGCAGACTTTGAACCCCACAATCCTCCAGTCCTTCCTGGGAGCCCCAACCTCATCCTCCAACCTCAAGGCCACTTCAGGTCTCAACACTGTCTCCCTTCAAGATCTGGCTGATGGCAGATAGGATGGGCACACATTCCTCTCCCTGAATCCTCTGGTATCCAAGCCCAGGCCATGAACTTCCCTGGATTTGGCTTCTTGGCTTGGGCTTCCTGAAATGCCTGCTTCCTCCCCATAGCTCTGAGAAACCCATTTGCTCTAACTCAGAAGACCACCTTATCATATAAATGACCTCAATTCCCTGTCTTGACAGACCTTTGAGAGAGTCATCCTGAATGTAGTGGCGTCCCTTCTCCTGAATGTGCTTACCATTGCAGCTCACAGCATCTGTCAGTATGCTTCAACATCATGTTTCTCCATGAAGCCTGGTGGAGGCCTCCACCTTCACTTTATAGATTCAATCTTCTTTTTAGTGAGCCACAAGCTAGGAACAAGGGGAAAAGTGCATAATGTGCCCTTCTTATTCAACCTTGTTTTGTCTCTTTCATTTCTCTATAGGTTTTAATGTTACCATCAAATCCTTCCTGTCTCATAGGGTTCTAGTCCCTCCATTTGTTTTCTTCTACATGTTGTTATTTTCCATTGTATGGGTTCTGAATCTCAAAGAGATTCCACCCTTTTCACAGTGGTCCAGCAGGACATTTGTTACTGTTTTGTGTGCAAAACCTCAGGAATGTTAGAAACAGATGCCTTTGGTCTGTAATCTGCTGTCTAGGTGGGGCTTCTTCCTGCCTGTCCTGTCTGGGACACTGTGTTTCCTTGCCTTCATGGTTTCAAATCTTAATATTGGCCAATTTGTTAGTTTTTCTATGAAAAGTTTTAGGCACCACCTCAATTCTTGTTTGAACAGTTTTCTGCCAGGTATATCCTGAAAACTGGATGCCCAAGCTCAACATTAAAGGTGGACCTTAGGTAATCTCTTTAGTACCTTTATGAATCACATACTAGTTCTTTGTCAGCAGTATTTACATGGGCATGAAAGACTGTTTGAATATTCAGGACAAAAGTGTACCCATTTGTGGACTGTGTAAGTAACAGAATTGAGAGTTGATATAAACCAGAATGTGCACTGATAGATGAGAGAAAGGAGAGTAAAGCTCCTTCAACCTATACATTTCTTAGTGTGTACAAGACCCCAAGCAACTCACTCTAAATAACTATTCTTTCAAAAGGCACAGAATACCTTCTTCAAACAGGCCCGATGGTGGACAGTTACCACACTGTAGACCAACCGGCAAGGACCTCTGTTCTTGAAGGCGTGTGGCACAGCTTACTCAGAGTCAAAAGACTACTGGGTTTGCAGCAAGTCACTGCCCTAGTTACTGTTCCTTACCTCCATAGAGAGGGATTTCATTATTCCTCAGTTTCAGCCTACTGCATTAGAACAGCAAATAGGAGGACCTTAAAAATTTTCTATTCTGACAAGATTTTCTACCCAAATTGCATTATCTTCAAGAAATACGAACTTTGCATTTATTCATAAATTTGCATCAGTGATCTCAATCGTGTTTTGATTACACTGAGTACCCAAACATGAACTTGCTACTGCAGACTCAAAGAGCTCCATTCTATCTTAAAAATGTAAATAGGTAAATGCACATTGTGCCCTAATACCTCTACCCTGATGGGGATCACCAAAAGTGTGTCTCCTCCCCAGTTGCCAGCAGTACCCCAGTACTGTTGCTACCAGGGACACAGCTCAGGATTCCTTTCCTTGCCCGGCTCCCCAAGACTTAAGGCCATTTCTCCTTTTTCCATGTAAGATGCATTTCTTTGTTTATGGCCTGCCCTTTCTAATAAAAACATACAGCACACAATGAGTTTAGATATCCTGACCCACAAGTAGACTGTTAGAATGGCCTGTGCAAACTTACCATCACACATTCTCTTTGTTCTTAGTACTGTGGTCATCTGGTATAAGGAGGGTACATTTGGAAGTTGGTACAGTGTATATTAGCCTCCAACACAACTATTCTTATGAGGTTTTTCTCAGTTGCCTTTTTGGCATATATTGACTCTTAAATGGCAGCAGGGAGGTCCTGATTTTGGTGCCACCTAGTTCTGATGGCAGCTAGTGAAAAGCAGGAACCCCTGAAAAATACCCAGTGTCACAAGATAGCAAGTTCTTTTCTAAGTTTTACTATTTTTCCCACTTATTCTCTTAATGTGGACTGAATGCTCCAGTAGACTGAATTGTCTTTCACCCATGTTTGGTGGGTGAGATTGAGCTTATCAGTGATACAATAAGTCTTTTCTAGTTTCAGATTTTTCTTTCTCGTCCTTTGTCATAATGTTCTTGTGTCCTCGGGATGTTGTATTTTCTTTGTTCTAAAATTTTGCTTATATATTATGACCTTGTTAAATTAGGTATGCATCATTAAGCATTTTATCTAAGTGGTTGAAGTTTTAAAAACCTTTCTTTTCAGCAGGAAATATCCCTGTAGTAAGAGAAACTGCAATGGAAGGTGGAAAAGGATGCGACTTAAGTATTTCAAGTCATTCAAAAGCAGACGGTATGACTTCCCTTAGCTTGTTTTTACTAATATATAATGCTAGTGATTTGATAAATACTATCTATATAATAAGGGGCATGATGTCAATATATTACTTATTGATAGCAGTTTTAAATGATGTTGTTGCTAATTTAAGGATAATATTTTTTAAAATTTCATAAGTTCCCAAAATTGTACAGTTAAACAGGTTAAGCCAGGTGTGGTGACACATGCTTGTAATTCTAGCACTCTAGGAGGCTGAGTCAGGAAGACCAAAAAATTCAAGCCCAACCTGGACAATGTAGTGACTCTGTCTCAAAATAAACTTAGCAAAGGCCAGGGATATAGCTCAGTGTGAAGGCCCTGGACTCAATCTTCACTCCTGAAAAAATGCACTATTTACTATTTACTATTTATTCAATCATATGTGTTCCATTCTAATGATTTTTGTTATCTTTATATATACCACCTGTTTTGTCATATTTTTTTTCTTTAAATATGTTCAGTTTTAAGCTGGGCTGAGTACTCAGCCCAGTACTGGGGAGGCTGAGGCAGGAGGATCACTGAGAGCTCAAGGCCAGCCTGAACTACATAGACCTTGTCTCCAAAAACAAAGTTCCGTTTTTAAATTCATTTAAAAGGAAACTTTATATCAGTTATTAGTTAATATAACATAAAACTAATATACACTTCATACAATAAGAAAGTAATGATACAAATAAATGCAACAAAATAAAATTATTAAATTTTACCTATTGTTGGTGTATTGCATCTGAAATCTGCTTTGTCTTTGTTGAAAGGAGAGATTAGCAGATGTTAAAGACATTTTAAAAGCATACTAGAACCAGATGGAAACTTTTCCTTCACATAGAGTAATTTAAAAAATAAAAATGGAACACATTCCTTACTCTGTGATTCAGTGTCATTTAATGTGGAAACCTTTTAAACCACCATGTAAGAAATGCCTCTACCCTCTAGCTTCCTCACATGGAAGTTTCCTTCCAAGTTCTTAAGTTACATGACTATTTTTTTAGAAGGTAAGTGTATTTTTTTCCCAACAATTAAAAAACAGTGTCTATTGTTTTCCTTGTGAGTGCAGATCTGGCTGGTAAACCCAGTGAAGGAACACGTGTACTGTGTCATTCTGTCTCATTTTGTGGATTCCTCAGCTGTCCTCAGAACACATAGTGCTTCATAAGCCAAACTTGATATTATGGTATATTTTTTAATGTCATCATTCATATTTTAGAATGATTTTCCCTTTTGCAAAGAATTCTTGGAAAATTCACTTTTAAGTAACAAGTTCTATAGTAGGTTTGGCTGGTTTTGGTCCATTTAGTAAGGAAGTGAGTAAAGTCCTTCAATCTTGGTTATTATTACACTTATAACAAATGTGAGATATGTGAGAAATGATGATGATGAATAGTGTCAAATTCCAGCACAGATGTGTGGTAAAGTATTAACTTTTCTATTTTATGGTTTTTAGAGATAGACACCAATTCCCTTTCTGGCTATGGCTCACCCTCACCTTTCTTTTTAAGTGCAAGTGATGACTTATGTGTATAAGTATATATATCCAGAGAGATGCATATATTTCTCACCTACATTGTGAAGACTGAGAGAAAGCCTTACAACAGAGTATCTGCTAAGCTAAATTACTATTACTTCTTATTTATATTGTTGAATCTTAGCAGTGTTAAGACCCATCCCAGTTTTCAGGATAAAGTAATAATGAGCTGTATACAACCACTCTGACCTTGGTTAATTATTTAACCCTCTCATCATTAAAACACACATAATAATACCTGCTTCTTAGGGTAGTGTGTGTTATGGGATTTGATACTCTAACATTTTTATTACAGGCACATAGAAAGAATTTAGTTAATGCTAATAGGATGATATGGGTGATAACACTTTCTGCTCAGGTCAGACCTGGATATATAAGCATCCTGTTTGAGATGTAGGGGTCATTCATCCATGTGTGGTGTGTGGTATAGGAAGCATCTCATCCTAGAGAGTCCTAAATCAGTGACAATACTGAAATTTAAAATAGCCAGATAAAAGTGTACCTGAAAGGTAATTTCTCTGTATTTTTCCCAGCCTTCACAATTAGCAGACATCTTGCAGCCTTTCAGTGTGACTCCTTACCAATCTGGGGCATTTTCAGTTTGGCTTGGCTACTTCAACTCTTCTTTTATCCTAGGGTCATCACCAGTGTTATCACCAAGGAAGCCTTCTCACCCAGTCATGGATTTTTTTTCAGCTCACATCTTTTAGGTGACTCTTCTTCACCAGCAACTAATTCTACCCATACAGAGCCCCATGAAATCATTGTAGGTGATTGCTTTGGTTCTGATGAAAACCTTCAGAAGCTGGAAAATGTCCTTGATGTTTGGAGTTCTGATCTTAAGGTATTGCAGCTGTTCAGATGCAGTTGTTTAATTTAATATGTAGTGCAGTAGTTTTGCTCAAGTCTACTGTTTATTCTTCTTTCTCAAAAGCTTTTCTTAAAAAAAACATCTTTAGAGAGATTGGGGATGTAGCTCAGCATACCTAGCATGCACCAGGCCCTGGGTTCAATTCCCAGCACCACAAAAACAGAAAAACAACAAACAAACAAAAGTTTAGTTTCCTGAGATGAGTCCCAAGTCTTAGGTTTGTGGGTCAGGTACATAGCTGCCACCTGGAGATCTGGTTAAACTGCAGCTTGATGCTCAGTAGGTCTTGGGCAGGACCCAAAATGATCCACTGCTCTCAAGCACCCAGATGATCCTGCAGTCTGGAAACCATACTTCAAATTCTAGGAATAACCTTGTAGCACAGTGTCTATTAGTCTCCTCCCTTTGGAACAGGTTTTATACTTCCAATAATGGTGTAAGTCCACTGGAGTCATATATACCCAACCGTTCAAATTGTTCTGTGTTCAGTTAGCCATATGTGTTATTTGTTTGTTGTGAGAAATGATTATTTAGTCTTTTTACTTATGCTGGGCAGTAGAGTGAAGATGCAGCCACTTGAGGTAAGGTGACCAGTATGATAAGTGGTTTGGGGAAGATATCTTCAACTCCCACAGTTCCCACTACCACCTCTATCTAAACAGTGTCCTAGTCATCATGGCTCAGCCTAGCCTGCAGTTCTGAATTTCTTTCTTACCTGATCCATTTTAATGTGGACACTTAAGTCCTTGACTAGACAAAGGGATTTAATGAATGAGGCTGAAATTTTCTTTTAAAATATAAGATTTTATACCAAGTAACTTAAAATAGGAAAAAGCTGTTTTCTGGTAAATATGAACCACAAAGAGCCATGACTGTTGAACTTGCATACATCATCACTAGTGTGTTGTGACTTTTTACATGTTTTGTTGACTGCTTGCTGTGATTTTTAAATTTTTTTAAATTTCAGTTTGAAGTGGTATTAAGGAAGAACTACTTAATTGTTGTACATTTATTTTTCAGACAAACATTACATCTGAACTAAGCAAATGGAGATTTAATTTTATTGACTGGCACCAAATGGAAATGAAAAAAGAGAAGGAAAAACATGCAGCACATGTAAAGCAACTGTGCAGCCAGATCAATGACTTGAAGGAGCTGCAGAAAGACTTTGAAATTTCCATTAGGAGAAAAGATGAGGTCTTCTTTTTGTTTCTCTGGGGTTTTTTTTGTTGTTGTTGTTTGTTTGTTTTGAGACAGGATCTTGCTATGTGTTCCAGGCTGGCCTTGAACTTACTATGAAGCCCAGGCTGGCCTTGAACTCAAAGCAATCCTCCTGCCATAGCCTCCTGAGTGCTGAGATTGCAGGCATGTGCCGCCATGGCTAGCTTAATATCTCTTTTTTGATTGAGATCCAGTAAATGTTTCACTAAGTAATAAGTTCTAAGAACTGATGATTATTTAGCTCATATAAGATATAAACAGGAAATTGCTTCAGAAACTGGTAGGAAAATGAGTGCCTAGCCATAGGATGTATTCTTCCTAACCATGTCAGCGTGATGCCATTTTATCTTTACTTTGGCTTCGGTGTTCATGTTTTAAGAGTGTCTGCTAAATACAAGTGCACTGGTTTTTATCTTTCTATCCTTTTTTCCACTCTACCTGCCCTTTAAAGAACATCATAGAATAAATATTACCTACATTTTAAACTGTTCTTTTAGGGAATATTTTAAGCACTCAAATTCTTTCTTTACTACTGAAGTTAAACACAGAAAATGTCCCTACTTTCACTTTGTTGCCTCTTGAGATCTTGAGAGTAGAGTTGAAGTCTCTGCTAGTCTTTTGCCTCTTGATAGCACCTTGAGCAAAGCAGCTGGGCAACAAATTTCTGCAGTTCATGGATGGAGGGTAGCGGCTTCCAGAGAAGAGGGACTCGGGCAGACACCTCAGCCGCTGGTCTAAGGAAACAGCACCAAGGCGTTTCAGTGAACTATATGAAGATTGTGTGTTTTAAAAATATACACGTACTTCATTTTACAGGGTATAAAATTGCACATTTTGTTTAGTTTATTTTCTGAACTAATGTACACTAATGTCAGTCATTTTCTCTATTACCTTCAAAAAACCCTGTTCTAAAATTTTGTTTTCACATTATGTTGAATTTATGAAGATGAGTAAAGTGAACTGCCATCCAGCTTAAGAATAGAATATAATAGTTATCTTAGAACATGTGTCATTTCCTCTTTTGAAAAGAACAGTCACAAATGTCTCTTGATAAATGTGTCCAATTCACTAAATATCTTTTTAATATGATCATTTTCAGTTATTCAGTTCTTAGTAAGAGAGAATGTTCTTAGGATATAAAGGCCTTCATTTTTTTAAGAACAAAAATATCACTGAGGAAGGATATCAAAATGTTACTAATTATTTGCTTTTATAAAATTCTTAAACCACAAAATTGTTAACAGTTATTGAAAAATTCCTGTAGCAAGATAGTAAGTGCAAATGACTAGAAGATATTTAAAACCTAGTCCTGCTCACAAGTGTAGTGAATTTGTATATATAGCAAACCTTTCAAATGTACAATCGTTTTCCTGAATTAAATGTCAATAGGGATCCCGGGACCGCCCCCTCCTGCTCCCAGGCCCGAGGCAACCGGCCGAGATGGCCCGAGCCTCCGAGACAGCAGGAGAGCCGAAGCCGCCCTTCCCCGCCCAGAGACGCTCGGCGAGCGGCTGCTGCTGTGCCCGCGTGCTCCATGGGGAGGCAGTGGAGACTCTTGGCCGGCGGGCGGCTCAGAGGCCGGGGGCTGCCCCGGAACGCCACCGCGGGGCCTGCTGCTGGGCTGATGTGCACTGCGCTGGCAGCCTACGCCTGCTGGGGACAGCTGCCGCCGCTTCCCTGGGCGTCCTCGGCCCCGCCGCGCCGGGCGGTGGGTGTGCTGCTGTGGTGGGAGCCCTTCGGGGGTCGCGGCCGAGCCTAGAGGCCGCCCCCCGACTGCTGGCTGCCCTTCAATATTAGCGGGTGCCGCCTGCTCACCGACCGCGCAGCCTACGGAGAGGCTCAAGCGGTGCTTTTCCACCACCGCGACCTGGTGTGGAGACCCCCCGACTGGCCCCTGCCTTGGGGTGCCCAGGTGCGCCGGGCAGAGGAGCTGCAGCTGCGCGTGTTAGACGACCCGGAGGAGGCGGCGATCTCCGGCCCCGGGCCCCCGGGCCAGCGCTGGGTGTAGATGAACTTCGAGTCACCCTCTCATTCTCTGGGGCTGCGGGCCCTGACTGGGAACCTCTTCAACTGGACGCTCTCATACCGCGCCAACTCTGATATCTTCCTGCCCTACCGCTACCTTTATCCCAGGAAACACTCTGGCGACCAGCCCATGGGCCTGGTCCCGCCGCTGCCCTGGAAACGAGGACTGGTGGCCTGGGTGGTGAGCCAGTGGGATGAGCGCCAGGCCAGGGTCCGCTACCACCAGCTGAGCCAGCACCTGCCGGTCGGTCGACGTGTTCGGCTGGGGCGGGCCTGGGCGGCCGGTGCCTGACAGCGGGCTTCTGCACACGTGGCCCTCTACGAGTTCTACCTGGCTTTCGAGAACTCTCAGCACCTGGATTATATTACTGAAAAGCTCTGGCGCAACTCCTTGGTGGCTGGGGCGGTGCTGGTGGTTCTAGCCCCAAACCATGCCAACTACAAGCGCTTTGTGCCCCGTGACTCCTTCATCCACGTGGGCGACTTCCCTAGTGCCTCTTCCCTCGCTGCCTACCTGCTTTTCCTCGACCGAAACCTGGCAGTCTACCGCCGCTACGTCCACTGGCGCCGGAGGTATGCGGTGCACATCATCTTCTGGGGCAAGCCTTGGTACAGGGCCTGCCAGGTAGTGCAGACTGCTGGGGACCAACCGAAGAGCTTTTGCAACTTGGCCAGCTGGTTTGAGTGGGGAAGCCACCTAGAATGTGACCATTTTGATCCTCTACTGGATTTTCTCCTCAACTGCTGCCAATTTGTGGGACTAAGTTCCCCAGTTGCCTATTTTTGCTCTCTGGGATTAAGGTGATTTACCAATTAATATTAATTAGCAAAAGGATCCTTGATGCTCATGGTCTTTCAAACAACTAGCAGTTGTGCTTCCTCTGTTGTAGGTGGGCATCTAGGAGCCTTTCCTTACCCAGTATAGATCTATACAAAAAGTCTTTGGGAAGGTTTCTTTGAATTTCCTCCTCTACCACAGGCCATATTTGTAGCCTATGTAGACTCTGAATCTCGTACATGCTGCTCCTCGACTCATATTTGCCTGAACCAAGGTGAAGCAGACCCCTGGTGTTTAGAAAGAGGGTTGGTGTGAGATAGTGGAAGGGCTGTGTCCCCATGTGGGTCTTTTTATTTTTTTGGTACCGGGCCTCAAACTCAGGTCCTTGCTCTTGCAAGGCAGGTGGCTGCACCACTGAGCTAAATCCCCAGCCCTGGGTCTTTTTCTTTGTTGGTTGGATTCCTCAAAGCCTCTGCTCTTGGGAAAGGTGAGGAGTACAGTTTATGAAGCCCCTGACTTTCTTAATAAGGACTGTTTGTTTCTTTCCCTTTGAATGGGAACAAGTGCTGGATTGTCCTTGGAGGAGAATTAAAATGAATATATGGGTGCACCTCACTTTATACAAGAAATGTATTCCTGAAAAGCTGCATCTAAATCACATCCCAAATTCAGTGCCCTAAGGGAGTTCAGTATTTTTTAATGGAACCCTGTGGAAAATCCCTTTACAATGTGAATAATCATCTAATTTATTTCTTCTGTCTTTATATTTTCCTATAAACTGGATTTAAAAAACATGAAAAGTACAAATGTGAAAATAAAGCACAAGCAACCTTCTTCTCCCCCTCTTCCCAGCAAAGCAGCCTGTGCTTACAAACGGAAGAGAAGAGAGCCAGTGTCACTTTCTACAAAATTATTTATTTCATGTCTTATTGGACCCAAAATTTCAACTGGAATGTCAGCCCTTCAGAGGTGCTGGCATTACCTGTGCAGAACAGTGACGGAGACGTTACTGCATTACGGAGCCATGCAAAAGGAAAAAAGCTTCATGGTGTCCATTAGGGATAGTTTTTGTTTCTGTCAGTTTTTAGTTAAATGTTTAGATCCTAGGGAGTGGAACTAAAACTAATGCCTACAATTAGCTTACTCTTTTGTTAAAGGCTAACTCTGCAGGCCTCACTTGGGTCCAGGAGTTTTCCTTGCTAGTCTGTAGAGTTGGAGAGCAGACCCTCACATTTCTAACATCCTTGAGGCTGTGCTGCAGGATCAAGCTCGGAAATACATGCATTGTCTGTATAGGTTGTTGATTGACCAGCATATTCAACAGGTGTTAGCGGGTGACTACACATTGCTAAACACTGGGCTTAAGGCCTTGGGGAAGATAAAAAAAAATGTATCAGGCAACATTCTTCTCTTTAGGGCTCTTAAAATCCACCACTGCCAAAAGTGAATGGTGACTTTGATAAAACAGTTGGCACAACCCATTTGATTACAGTGGGATTCTCAGTGCTACAGACCATAAATCAGTGATTAAAAGCCATTTGATTTAAAAAAATGTCAATAACTGTATTAATTTTCATATACAGAAACTTGTATTGGTTATGAACAAAATATGTGCACAATGACAGTTTCCTCTTATTCCCCTTTATTTGTTAATATGTAGTGTATTCACATGGTGAATTTTTGTGGTCTTTTTTAATAATAATAATAATAATAATAATGAAGCTAACTAGATGAATACAGTAGAGACTCATAGTTATTCTCTCTAGCACTTTTTGATATATTAGAAAATCATATTAACAATTATTATTGTAATATCACAATAATTAATTAGGTTAATTGCTCTTTACAGGTGATTTCCAGCTTGTCTCATGCCATCAGCAAACAAAAGGAAAGGACAGAGTTGACGCTAACATTCTTCCACTGGCAGATTGGCCATGTCAAATCCAGACAGGATGTAAGTATAAATAAAGACAAGATCTCTGACCAGTGTTAGACTTCTGAAAAAGGTTTTGGATCCTGCTTAGGCACTTACCCATTGCTGACATGCAGACCCTACACTCACAACTTAAAGGAGGAGAGGTTCGTATGGGCTCATGGCTTTTAGAGAATTCAGTCCGTGGTTGGCCAGCTCCAAGGCAGGAAGGGCATGGTGCAGGGAAAGCTGCTCATGTCATGGCAGGCAGGAAGTAGAGCAGGAAGGAGCCAGGCACGGAGATGCACCCTTCCAGTCATACTCCAGTGACCATCTCGTGCAGCCAGACCCCATCTCCTAACAGCAGTCAGCTATAACCCCAAAATTCCCACCTCTGAACACATGAAGTCTGGGGAGACATTCGCAATCTAAACCATAACAGAGCACTTACCAAAACTCTTGTTCAAGCAAAGAAAGATGTGTTTCCTAGTCAAAATGAATTCATGATATTGTTTCTCTTATTTGAAAGCAATTTGATTTTTATATAGTTTGCAAAAAACACTTCTCAGATTCTATAGACAAATGCATTATGATAGATACAGCATTTACTACTTCATTGCAGTTTAATAGAGATTGTGCCTGAATTATAAATGTCCTTCTAATGGGCCTTCTTTAGGAGATTTGACCTCAGATATGGTTATATGGAAAAATAATTTATAATGTTAAGTGTATCATATGCTTCTGTATTGTTTACCTGAGCCAGAGTAGTGCCGTGCACCTGTAGTCTCAGCTACACAAGAGGCTGAGGCAGGAGAATGGCTTTAGTCCATTTGTAGGCAGCTGGGCAACATAGCTAGACCCTTTCTTAAAAAAATAAAATACCTGAATACAACCTTTTCATTAAAAGATATTGCTATTCACACATTACAAAATATTGCAAATGTTTGTTGTGCAAATTGCTCTTAGCATGAGAATTGAAAAAGCCATGCCTCGATTTGATTTTTTTTATTTAAAAAATTAAATGAGTAATTTAAACCTGAACATCTTTAGTTTAATAAGAATTGAATCAATATATAAAAATAGTGAACTGACCTCAAAGTAGAAAAACATGAGAGAGAGAGAGAGAGAGAGAGTCATAAGTATAAGGGAAGCATATAAATATTTCCATGTATGTATGTTCCTGTGAGCTTGGAGTAGTTTCTGTATGTTAGCTTCCAAGAAATTAGTATGTATTTAGGAAAAAGTTATTGTTATCATGGAATAGAATTTCTCTTTAAGGATTTGTATCAGTCAGCTTTCTGTGCTGGGAAAAAATAACTGACACTGG